GCGTCATTAACAAATGCATACATCCGCGGCTTTGCTACGCGAGATCGAATAAGGGGAGCAACCGCGTTCCGTTATGCAATCCTGATAAACCTAATCCGCTCCTTTCTTCGCGTCCTCCGTAGCTCGCGATCTCGCACCGCGAAGAAAATAATCGGAGGATGTCGTGCAAGACGCGAGCCGACCATCCCGTCGAGCATTCTTCGTCAGGCAAGTCTCTCGGAAAATCGCGAAAGATATGCGCAGGAACAAAACGCATGGCATAAAAAAAAGTATCATAAAATTTTAAACGCGATAAAACATCAGATTATTTTTGTGACCACACTTTTCTCCGATTTAAAAAAACAACGAAAAGCGTAATCCGAATAATAAAATGGAGAAAAAACGTATTTCTCGTACTTTTTTTTTTTTGATTACGTGGTAACAGCGTTTATGCTCGAACACTACAAAATAGTCGAGTACTCCATGTCCAAGTTACACACTAAAGTGATCTTTGATTAGTATTTTAATTAAGTACACAGTCTCGGTGCGAACACGCGTACACTGCAACCTATGGCACTAAGTATTCACGTTATTTTCTGCATTTTTTTATTTTTAATCTCTCGGCGCGAAATTTATCGTCGTATGCAACTCGCGCCATCACGACTTTTCTGTTCCACTCCGTCAACGCTCGAAGACGCGCAGTAAAAATGATCACGAATCGGTCATTTAAGCGCGGCATTTAAAACAAATAACAAACAAGATTTGTCCGATGAATATTCGACGATGTAAATCATAGAAATTTTGGAATCAGAAGACAACCAAAAGTTAGCGATTAAATATTTATGACGAAACGCATAATAATTGACTCACCGATCTAATCAGCGTCCTCCAATATTCATGCAGAACGTAAAAAATTGCCGCGCAGAAACAATTGATCCTGTAAAATTACTTCCTTACGTTCGGCGTGACATAAAAGCAAGAAAAAAAAACTGCTTCGATGTTCCTCTCAACGTAAGTCTTGCCATTCTTCCTTGTTTCCTTCTTCCCTATGTCCTTTTCATTTACGTTCCTTTCTCTCGGAACAATACCTAATGAAAGCCAAGAGGCTCACAATCCTCTCGGCCCTAGGCTCGGCACTCGTAACTAGGGTTCCAATCGACCGGTGCCGAAGCCCATCTCCCCATTTTCCGTACACCCTTGCATTTGCACGCGACAGCGATCTTAGCGGGAAGAATCGCCGTCGCGGTTTCACTCCAACTCTAGAGCCATCCCTTACAAGTCTGGTGCCCCGCGTGTGGTTTTTTTCGCTTTTACGTACCTGTCGTGTAAGGTCAAAAATATAATTCCGAATTTGTTCCCAAGTGAAGTTCTCGAGACGTGTATTCGTGCACATGGTCTCACGACATATGCGCGAATGCATGTGCTCTCGCGTCTCACCATAACGACGTACACGAGTGCACGCGATGTCTTCATTCCGATGAAAATGACACATCGCGCACGCGTGCACGCGTATAGGTCTGTATACGCGTATACGTTGCACCCGGTTTGCCTCCGACAGACGCATAACGGGTAAATCGTATATACACGCTCACGCACGCGTGTACACTCATGTTGATGAGCATCGAAAAGAAGAAAAATTCCAAAGATATTCTTCGACAGCGGGGCACCAGCGGGACAACTTGACTCCAGAAGAAAGAGAGAGAGAGAAAGAGAGAGAGAGACTCAGGGGTCTCAATATTATTCACCTTCGTTGCGTTTCATGTATAAGATACAAGGGTCAAGTACGGGGAATGGGGGTGGACCTCGCGCGCCCTGCCGATCAGGACTTGTACCTCACACAACTCCCTAGTTACGAGTACCGAGACCTAGTTGATAGCCGACTGACCTGATTGCGCACGACCTTAAATTGCCTCCTACTCCTCGATTTCGTACGCGCTATTTTATTGTACCTTGCCTCTCACATCGCTCTCGCACAACACGATCCGGATCGCACACCCGCGGCGCAAGTTCGCTCGAAGAGATTTTGCAGTTCGTCTGGTACATTATTCGCTGAACGAACTCGTCATAGTCTCTGGTCTCATTATCTTAAAGTGACAATTATGTCGTTCGATTATCGGTAACCACAAATTAAAGAGAAAAAAAAAATTCGCAATAAATTAATAGTTTATCTAGTTTCGCTAGACCCACGCACGCTACGACTCGTTCTCGCTGCCTCGCGCTCTCACTCGCACTCTTGTCTCGCACACACGAGATCCCTAAAGTCACTCCGATCGTTCAGTTTAAAAATAGACACAAAATTCCTCTTACTCTTTCTGCGATGCATATGAGCCTTAATCCTATTACGTATATCCAAATCACGATTAATATCAGCGGTCCTAACCGACTGTCGATCGATTTTCCATGCTAACTCGTCCTCGTTACCGCGCGACTTCGATCGTGAACGATGGACGCGCCGCGGACGTACAAGAAAAATACGCGCGTGCACGCCCACGAGAGAGGCTACCTAAAGAAAGTAGACGCCGCGTAGACGATATAATGTCCGTCGTAAACACGCCTACCGCGCGCGATAGTATCGATCATCATCCAACGCGCGCTGCACCGAGGCCGTTAGCTACTGGCGCGCGCGCGCTCTCTTCCCTATGCAGCGTCCCGCATATAAATCGCGGTCAGTAACGGTGTTTAAACAAATAGAAAAAAAAATGAAGAAAATGCGAAGGAGGGAAAAAAAAGCGGGACGCTGACGTACGAATTATCCGCGTCTTGTTCGCCCTTCCTATGCGCGACTCAGTTAATCGACTTCTCTCCGTTTGCCATACATCTGATGCGGTCTCATTGACACGTGACGTCCAAGTAATACTCGCGCGTATTATTCTTACCCCCCTACCCCCATCCTCCTTTTCTCTCTTGCTCGGCTGCCTTATTCGAACTGAAAACGCTTACGAACCGCAGTGAAACCGCTCTACCTCGATTTTCTCGCGCCTCTCTATCCACCCTATCTCTAGCTGCTCGGCGACCTACTTCGTTGACGACGTTTCTCGCGTGAGACCGCGAACGCGCCCTCCTCCTCCTCCTCCCGCTCCTCCTTCTCCAATGCCCGTTCCTTTATACAAATATCTCGCACGTCTAGCCCGTCCATCGTGCCATACCGTGTCGCGAGAAACCTTCAAGGAGAGACAGGGGGAAAAAAAAGGCTGTGAGAGAATAAGAGAAAAAGAGAAGCGCAAGATACGAAATGAACGCGTCGCTCTTCAAGTTTGCGCGCGCGCGAACCGCGTTATCTCGTTACTTCCGATAATTAACCTAGCTAGCTGGATAGATAGAACCGACCATGTCCCGGCTGCACGAAGTGGCAAAACGCGGAATTGGTTGCATAAGGCTGCGAACCGACCGGCGCTCTCGCACCGATAATAGCCCATTCCGACTGGTTTCCAAGGTGATTTTCGGCGAGAATACCTCTGAATATGTTTCGAAAGCGGATCGCTTCGAGTGAGAACCGATGTCAACGGACGGCCGCTGCCTCTCTGGCACGAAACAGATTTAGAAACATTCTTCTACCGCGTCACGAAGCCGAAGCCTTACGTAATCGAATCCGCCTCGGATTTATGGTGCGGTTGAGCGAAGACCTGCGTTAATTAATGATGAAGCGTAAGAAGTACGCGGAAGTGTAGCCGAAAAAAAAAACAACAGAATGCACCTGACGAATCCAAGAAGACGATGGATCCCACATCCGACTCCACTAAGGCCGAAAAGCTCACTTTATGCGTAACATTAACAAATCTTATCGAGAGACTTTAACACACAAATAATCTCAATGAGAAATAGGACGAATAAATAAATTCTACCGGTCTCGAGCGACTAATTACAATTTGTAGAAATAACAAAAGGAAGACCGAACGAACGAATTGGAGATAAGCCGAAGGAACGTATCCTCCGTTCGCAGAGCAATCCGAAACACTTAGAGAAATGAAATGTATTGAGAAAACTGCAACAAGTAGCGCCGGTCCAACAATAAAAAAAAATGCTTCGTTGCCCGCATAGGGTCTGCGATCTAGCGTACCCTACCTCGAACCTCCGACTCTCTTCTCTTCTCAGCTCTTCTCAGAAAGGTCGAACGAGGACGTTAACAGAGCTCCAGAAGCGGCTACCCACGCATACTCGCGTCTCGACATTGATCAGGTGCTGGGTACCGTCTCTCTATAGAGCATAGGCCCGGCACGGCGTGGACTCGTGTGCGTTTCGACTCCCACGCCTGTATGATCTCGCCGCGAGGGCGGAGATCGAGAAGCACCTCCGACCTAACTCAACGCTGGTCACGATTCAATTATCACGGCGTACAGGTATCTCCCGATTTTACTAGAAAGAAATCGGTCGTCCCTTAAAGGACGGACTGAAGGAGCGGCGCTACGCTATGTCCTACGCATCTTCCTAATCGCGTCGTCCATCCCATTGGACATCCGACGTTAGACGAACCATACGAAGTAGCAAAAACACGATAGCAAACAGAAGAGGTAGAATCATGGAGATAAGCAACGGGAAGAATAATGTCGCGAAAGGAACAAGAGAGGAGTACAAGAAGAAGAAGAGATCTCGCGAAATCGGCACGGAAGTCGCGTAGTCTATTACGAGCACGGATAAACGGCCGAGCTAATGCTGTGGTAGGCGGCGAGGGCGGCGTGCGCGTGCGCTGGGGGCGCGGATGCGGCTGTGTGCGGCGTGGCCATCGCGGCTGCCATCATCATCTGTTGGTGCGAACGCTTTAGGGAGTTGGGAGTTGTGGCGGCGCTACTTGGGGTATTAGCAGTAGTACTGGTGGTGTTCGATTGCGGCGCAGGGTGGTGGTTTTGGCTTTGGTTTTGGTTGCTCAGTTGCAGGGGGGTGGTACTGCCGATTCCGGCGTGATTGCTATTATTATTATTATTATTCTGGCTCTGGTGATGGTGATGGTGGTGATGGTGATGGTGATGGTGGGGGGTGAGCGCGTCGTGCGGATAGTAAGACGTTGACGATGGTGAGGTACTCACGACGTCCGGCGTGCTGGCCCCGTCCGTGTGGCTGGTGCTGTCGGCGGTGCTTCTGGGTCCGCTGCCGTCCAGACCGTTACCCAACTCGGGTGGCTTCGAGCTCTCTCGGTCGTCGATCACGAGGTCGATCGGCATCTTGCCCTTCAGGCAGCTGATGTACCGGTGGCAGAAGTTGTCGCACAGCTCGTGTACCTGGAACAAGAGAGAAGGAACGTTCGTTAGTCACGAGGTAGACTCGGCGACCAATTAGATCGGGTTCTCCATTGGGGAGAAACCGAGATACCGTTTCCCAAAAGATACTCTCCAACGGGAGGCGGCTGATTAACCGCGCCGCCGGAAATGATTAATAGACATATTCCGTCGAGCGGATCCAACTGATGCAGAATCTTACCGTGGTGCGAGGCGCGGGGAAGGAAGGAAAGAAAGAAAGAAAGAGAGAAAGGGGGAGAAGTAAAAAGTAAAAGAGACGCGATCAACAGCGGGCTCGAACGCGGCGTATCGATACACGAAGATGGTGGAGGAGAAGGATGGTTAGCGCGCATCTCGAGGCCGTGGAAGCGGTCTGGCTAGCCGAAGAGAGACCGATGCGACGAATGTAGAAGGAGCGCGAGAGAGAAAGGGAGACAGAGGAGAGATCTGACCGGTGTCCAGTCGACCAGAATGTTATGTATGCAAATGAAGGCTGACAGGCCTATAGGATAGCCGGTCCTCCTCCGTCCCCCTTTCGACTCATTCTCCAACCCTCGCCCTACCCCCCCCCCTCCCTCCCTCCCGCCCTCCCGTCGACCCTATTCCTCCTGCCTGATTCGCCTCCTTGATTCCGTTTAGAATAAACGTATTATATAAGCAAAAGCAAATAAAATTCGTTATCTTGTTATATGTAAATTGTCGGCGAGTCGAGATATTACGAAGCCGCGTACGGCCCTCGCAAACGTACACCCTCTCCTCCACCGTCCCTCGTTCCCGGGGCTACCTTGCACGCATTACCTTGCCCACCTCTATCAGCCTAGAGCCCACTTATAATACTCTTATTAAGCATTTATATATAATAGAGAAGACGGCCATCTTTGCCGTAGGCGGCACCGTCCAATGGTGGCGTGCATCAGGAACACGAGCGTAGGACAATGCACGTGTTTATCATCCGTTAAGCGCATGCGAGAAGACTCCGCAATCGAGTTTCCCCCGGCCGAGCGAGAAAGGCAAATCAACATCGTCGCGTAGAGATAGACGGACGCGGACGGAAAATGACTCTGCTGCCCGCGATAATCGGCATCGCGAATAAACCACCGGTCTAATCCAACGTTTCGCGTATTGGACAAGATTGCGAGATTATCGGGCCGTTTTCGCTTAGCTCGCGAAAGGTGACTCAATGACGATATTATTAGGGCCGGATCAATAAGATCGTTATGTGTATTATGCCAAGTCACCGCGGGACGGACCATGTATTTCCCGTCGATCGGCGAACATTCGTCACGCTCGTTTACCTCCCTTCAAAACTGAGAGGCCTCTCTCGTCGGTCGCACCGATAATGCGACAACCTCCGATCCGACCGCGCGCTTCTTCTATCGCGGCACCGGAACTTTTTTCCGAACGTTATTCACCTCGGCGTACCACCGCGACGCGGTAACACAATGCCCTCCTCGGGATGACTAAACTCTCTCTTTAACGTGGGGATCTAAGGGCGGGTAGGAGGAGAGGAAGGACTCCGAAGGACAGCGGCTATAATGCTGAACTGGTTAGAATTTGATCCGTCGGGAGTCGAGTCGAACCGAGCGACAATGCTCGGCGAAGAAAAAATAAAGAAAGAGAGTCCGCGTCCCCCCCTCTCGCTGCCCCTAACGCGTCGAATCAATCCTTCGCTTTGATATCGCCTCAATAACATTCTTTTACAATTTTAGAAATGCACCTCGGCGCACGTACGCGCCATAATTTTGTCGCGCAAGTAATTGGCTTGAAAGTCAATTGCGGGTAACAATTTTTGCAGACAGGCAAAATGAAATCAAAATAATTATCAAGAGACGTCAGTTCAGCAGGTCAATGTTAATATAAGTATACTAGTGAAACTGACGTTAATTATATCTGAAAATTATCGGAGAAAGGATATTCCGGTAGGAAGTCGATACACTTGGACTATGACACAGAAGATGATACGATCGCCTTGAAGCACGCCAATTTTTGCAATCTATCCTACCATTGAATCGCGTCATCCTATACCGTGGACGATCATCTCGGAAGGGACTGATACAAGATACAGGGAGGTCGTCCCCGGCGACGGGACGCTCGATCGCTCGCATCTCCCTTTTCCGAGATCGCTTTTGGCGGTCATCGAAACAGCAAAAGGACAACGTGGTTAGGGCCGATCTTTTCGGGGAGAGAATGTCGTTCAAGAATATCTCGTGGTGCGCGATACGACAAAGTGGCCCGTTATCTGGCGAGCGAAGGCGAGCGAAACAAATTTCGGGCTGCGAACCCGCCCCATGTCCGTAATTGGACGCCGTACGAAAATAGTTCCCGGGATCTGAATATGTTACTTAAAGTTTCAGCACAAGTTAAATTACGATTCAATTTCGAATCGTGGGTTAGTATCGATCGTATTAAACTTTTAGTGAGGACGCTGCGATCAAAGATTTAAGCAGCTGCGATAATACTATTTCCATCGATGTTCTCGAGCGAAAACGGAAACGACAGCCACTTGAAATCGATGAGCGATTTCGCCTTCCGGTTACTTCTTGGGTTATCAATCGCGTGAACAAAACAGTCGTCGCGTCTGCACGGTTGTTCGGGGGAGAGTTTTGGCGGGACAATTTTACTAAATATTATTTTTGAAAGAAACAATATTGGCGAGATGTTTAAGTATTCCGTTTCACATACAATTTAACAATTTCATCAGTCTCGCAAAAACAGATCTCTTTACCTGAGTTGAATACCGCGTGGTTACCTTCAATGTTTAACATCGCGGTGAGAAGACGCGAGATTTTCGGACCAAATCTAGATCGAAATTTCTTCAAATTTTGACAACACGTAAAATATGTATAACCGATACAATTACTAAAAAAATTTTAAAACCACACAGCCCGGAAGTACACGTACAGGAATTTGATTAATCAAATCCGAAGTTATTACTCGCGATATTACATGACTGTTCCGTGTGTTTACACGTCGTTTTAAAGACGAAGAGACAACAACTACTCCGAAACCAGTTCTCCATTCAAAGAGAACTATTAAACGATTCTCCCTTTTTCTCAGGCGCCTCGTCATGGAAGGTAAGAGAGTACTCGGCGCGCTGTGACATTATACGAGCTCGAGGGCCTCGATACCGTCTTTCATTCGGCCTCGAAATTGCTCGAAAATTTACGTAAACGGAGGAAAAGAACGGGTAAACGTCTCCCTATCTTACATCCGCCTCTTCCTTCCTACCCACGTCTCTTCACGGGCTCTCGGAAAGGCAAACGCCGAAGAATGGAACGGATCTAAGGTACATACGAGCGAGAGAGTAGAAAAGAAGGAACACGGGGAACCCCATTTACGGCACAATGGGCTCCTTTGAAGCCGAAGGTAATGAAGGTTTCGGGGTGTCTGTCTCGGTCTCCTTCTCTCGTGGCCCGATTCGCAACCTGACCACCCTTACGGCACGCACAGGATATCTGTATACCGGGTGTGCGTGGCGAACGGTCGGGGCCCTCGCTTCCTTCCCTTACCCGCCGCGGTATCGATGACGCCCGAGAAACCCGTCCCGGAACTTTTTTCAGCCGTCGAATTAATCCACATCCCTTCTAATAAAAATCTCAACGAATCCTGTGTATCGAATAAACGCCTGCGACGGTTCGCGTTATCCTTCGCATAAATCTACGAGATGTCTATTTACGCATAAAACTGTCATTAGGAGACGGCTGAAATTTAATTCCCGTGGCGAATGTCTCGGTCAAGATCCCGTAATAAGGAACATCCAAAAATTCCTAAGGCATGTATATAGGCGTGCTGGAACGCAAGGATATTCCAGCGAGAGAGAGAATCAGAATCAAGAGAGAGAGAGAGAGCAACGTGCGCTGGCATAGGTTTAGAACCAGTTCCGTACGCGGCGCGTCCACGGGCAGGAGGAGGTCGCCCGCGTGTTGTACCAGTACGAATCCCGTTGGTATGCACTGTGTACGCCATAATATCCCATAAGAAATTTACCGCTCTCTAACCGGTGTACGGGAGGCGGTTGTCCGGAGTTCTGCGATGGAAGAGGAGAAGAGCGCGAGTAGGATGATAGAAAGGGAGAAAAAGAGACGACCGCGCCATCAGAAAATGCCGCGAAGACAGAGAGAAGGACAGAGAGAGAGAGAGAAAGGAAAAGGGCCTGACCGGACCTTCCTTCCGCGCACCGGGCCCGGCAAAACGTAATTATGCTAATACGCGATTGGTTCGAAAATGTTAAATGCACGAGGCAGAGCACCGCGGGCTACCATGAGCCTGCCTCCATTGGTTCCCTTTCTCTACGCTGCTCTTTCCCTCTCTCTCTCTCTCTCTTTCTCTCTCCTCTCCTTTTCTCCTTATCTCACTCTCCGCTCTTCGTCCTCCTCTCTCTCTCCTCCACTTCGAGCACAGATATTTATGGAATCTTCTTCATCGCGCCCGCTGCATTCCGCTCCGCTCGTTCGCGTCTCGTCTCGTCTTGTCTAGAAGAGGCCCCGGGGACCAGAAACGTTTCAATCTCCGTTACCATCGATGGCGTGCCAAGCCGCGTTTCGTCTCCGGACTTCGGGGGTAGGGGCTCGACAGCGCTCGCACGCACACACACACACACGTGAGAAAGCCCGTTTTACGCGCACTGGTAACCGAGTATTAAGTATTTTGGCGGTGTCGTTTCGAAAAATACACCCATGGCCGCGTTATCTCTCGCAGCGCGCGTCTGCTAATTTCTTTAATCAGTGTGCTTCCATTAACGAGGGCAAATTTAGAGGCACGGCTAACGAGTAATAAGCGTTATCGCGATAAACCGAAACGTCGCGGTAATTTCGAGCGAGCTCCAATTAGTAAATTCATTTGCCCCGGCGCAGATAAGGTGACGCCGAACGCAGAGACGCGTTTCGATGATTTATCCGTTAACTCGACGCCTGACTTCACTGACTCGAACCTGGGACGCTGTCTCGAGTGTCCGTGTGAAAATTGTGGGTAACCAAATTTCTTTTCCACCTTTCCACTTCACCGACGCGCATTCCACCCGCATCCCAACCACGTCGCCAAGGTGGAACCCGAGCCAATTTTCCGCCGTGGATGAATATAGAGCTTTATGGGGACTAATGCCATGCCGATCTCGGCGCGTCGAGGATGCACTCGAGTCCGCCGCGGGTGGTGCGGCATTATAATAATGTGATCGCCTCGAAACGGGAAAAATTGCTATAAAATTGCGCGCGATCGAACCGGACGAATGAGAGAGGGGGGGGGAAGGGGCGACCGACAGCGAGGCATCGCGAAGAGGTCTCGAGAGCGGCGCGGCGGCCAATGGCTGCCGCCACGTCAGCTGCCATTTCGATGGAAATGCGATGGATGTCCGCTATTTTGTATGATAAAATATCGCCGCAAAAAACGTCCGTGGGTAAACCAGACCGGCCTCCGCATCCCGCGGGCGTAGCCGTTCGAAAGGAGAGCGAGGCCCTATCGAAAAATCCGCGCGCGTTGCACCGCCGCGCCGGCGAGAGTGAAAGAGAGAGAGAGAGAGCTCTATTAGCCAAGGGGGTAACCGCTTGATGTAGTCGTGTGACAGTGCCTCCGAAATCATTATGAAACCCTTAAGCCTGGTCTACAATGAGTCGTTGGTCGTCAGTCAGAAGTCGGAACTATACGTTGATCCTTTTCCTTTCTGGGTGGAAGAAAAAGGACCGACATATAGTTCCGACTTCTAACTAACGACTAACAACTCATTGTAGACCGGGCCTTAAGGAAATCCCCCGTGTAATCGGTTTGTCTTCACTTTCGAGTTTCTTCGCTTGTTGGACGATGAACATGAAATTTGAACATTGTCTCAGCTCGTTTTCATTTTCCAAAACAGTTCGCTCCCTTTAGTGAATATCCAAATACCTATAAGCGCGTATTATTTTGACAATAAGACTGAAGTAGTCGCTGTTAGAACAATAGCGAGTTGAAACGTTGATGCACCTTTGCGCGCAAACTTGGAACAATTAACGGTGGATACAGATACAAAATTATTTTTCGTCAAGACCGCGGTTGGACTAGCGAAAAAGTGGGAAGCGAGGAAACACGTGACCGAATACCACAATCTCAACTGAGGAAATCTAACAGCTCTTTGAGGTTTGACAGCGTTACATATTTTTTAACGTGCATATAAGAAAACGATTTGCAATTAGATGAGATTGTTTGTAACCAAATGAAATCGTGCAATCGGTGGGACAACATTTTAGCTAGTGGTTGCTATCAGCTCTACCGCTCTCTCGTCGGCGTCGCGACGCGAGGGGGGGGGGGAGGAGGAAACGCGAATTTCACGCGAGGCACAGCGGGCAAAGAGCGGGAGAAGCCGCGAGGAAACGGGCTCGTGGGCCCTCGTCGCCGATGAAAAGTCCACGATCTCGGGAATTTCCCTCGACAGATGCCTCGCACTTTCACCGTTTGTGCCACGGCTGTATAATTCCGCGCCGTGCTGGCTGGCTGGCCGGCTGGTAGAGTATCGGCGCGCATTGTCACTTCGTCTCGCCAATCGGAAAGAAGGGGAGGTGTCGCAACGAACGGGGTAAAAAAAGGGGGAAGGAAAAAAAAGAGCAAGAAACGAAACTACCGTTCCAAAGCAAACAACTGCGAACGAGGTAAAGCGTCCGTCGCCGTTGGACAGCAAAATGACTCCACTTACGTGTAGAGTCGGTTCGCCGTCGCAGTTTCAAACGAATGCGCGCCGTAGATGTCGAGCTTTCACCGCAATTACGGAAAATTGCCCCCGCGGTCATAACAGTCGTTTTTCAGGTGTTAAAGGCAGCCTATCGGCAGGCGGGCGGGCGCGGTAATCTCTCACAATAAGACCAATCGTGAGAATTTCCGATCGACCGTACTATAGTTTTAAGTAGAAAACTGCCTTTTTTGCATTGGCAGCGCGTGATTTTCGCGCCAACTTTTTCAACGGAGGAAAGTGTACGAGTAGTACGCGAGTTTACGTAAGTCGGTAACGTTTTCAGAATCGCGCTACGCGTTCATTCAATTTCGATGCAGGACGAAATAGACAAATTTCGGGAAAGTGACATTGTCCAATGTGATAAAAAAAATGTATCCGTCAGTTGAACGGAAAGAAGACTAAGATGTTAGATACCGAAGGAATAGGTGACCACAGTATCGCGCGGGCATCAGTTGGATCGGTAATAACGTTATGAGCCTCATATCGCAGACGTGAAGGATACTCACCTTTTCGAGCTCGAGGAGGTGAAACCGGAGGACCTGAATCGCCTGAACCATCTGAAACGAGAAGAAAAAAAGAATTGAATAAAATACATTCGCCGGACGCGATGGCAGAAGAAAGGCATTGGATGGTAAGAGGCTGGTTCGGGAGGACCAGGGAGAGAAGAGATGACGAAGGAAAGGCTGGAGAGGAATCGGGGAGGACGACAGGGCAGAGGGAACATGAAGTAGGCATGATTTAACCGCACGCTGCTGCATCGTCAACGGCAGCTCGGCAACAGATCGACGGTCCTTCGGCCCGGATTCGGCCTTTATTTTTTATTTTTTTATTTGCGCGCCCGCGTGCTTCCATTTATCTCTTCCGGTAAATATCGCCGTCGCCGATGGGACGGCGATAGTTGCGGCGGCGCGACGGTTATTAACGGGAATTCATTATTATTGCATCTGCGTTTCGCTAATTGCGTATCTGAACCCGGTCGTGCGGAATTCGCGCAGCGCACACTCGATGATACTCGATATCGCGGGTAAACGACCACGGGGAGAGATACAAGGGGCCCGACACGCGGAACGTTCGTTAGCCGCTGTGATCGGCGATTCCTTCTATTTCCTCGAGCTCTCGAAAGAGAATAAACTGACGAAAAATTATACCGCGAACGTGTCCCCCGGAGGGAAGTTCGCCGCGACATTTTCGATGCGCGGCAACGCGTGTCCGTCGCAACGTTTTAGAAAAGTATTCCGGAATATAAAGTCCGATAAGCGACGGTGCGACATCGAAAGGTAATAATTGTTTTCTCCCCTTTTTGTTTCCCCCACCCTACCCCTTTGAGATGTGTCCGCGGTATCGAAGGTGCGTCCTCGGAAGGACCGCTGGTATAATTTTCCGATACGCCATTAACGTTTAAGGCCACCCGAGATCCCCCGGCCGCAATCTCTACGCGGAGAGGAGACCGTACGTTGCGGCGTTCTCTCTCTCTCTCTCCCTCTCTCTCTCTTAGCAGAAGCGGCGATTCAATTAGGCAAAGCGGCAATCTTAATTGTTAATTAACATTATATTTATGCAATTATGGTCCATTATGATTCTGCGCGGCCGATAACGAAGCGGTCGCGATGAGTGCTCCCTGAGATAGTGGGCTCGTCCGAGGCCTACCTACCACCTCTGCGTCATCCTTTCGCCGTGGAAAAGATACACTCTAAGCGAGGCAGGTATAACGCCGGGTCTGTAACTACCACGAACGACAAGCGGACGAGAGATATCACCTCGGCGAAATGCATTTCAGCGCTTGTACGGGGTAAATAGGGAAAAAAAGTTTCTCGAGTGTAATAAAACGGAAGATTACGGGACCCATATATATATTTTTTTTTTCAAGCAAACACATACGCATGTGTTTACTTAAAAATTTATTTTTACATACCGCTCTCGCGTCGGCGTTAATATTGAAGAAAAAGGGACGCTAATAAAGAAAAGGTCCACGCTAATAAAGAAAAGATCCACGCACCGGAAACGAAGTGTGGAAAATTGCGCGTGGGAGCTCACCGTCAGACTCGCCCGTTATCGAGATTATCGGTGACAACGGAAGAGCCGAAATTACCAGCGGGACAAGGAACAATCGTCCGCGTTGTACACTGGACGACGAACCGTCAGCATCAAAGGAATATGTATCGGGTCTTCGACACTTCAGGGCTCGTCGACGAACGGACAGCAAGGAGGAAGAAAGGGCGAGAGTAAATAAGAAGAGAAACAAGAACGCGATGAGAGGGGAGGGGGGGAAGGGGGGAGAGAAAAAAACGAAGATGGTATCGGTCCAGTAACGAACACACAACACAGAACACCCGGGTGCTACTACGCGAGATGGTGCGAGGAGACGATTCGCCACGATGTGTTTCTCGCGTCTCTCCTCCTCGCCTCCGACGTTATACACAATGTGTTCTCTATATCCGACGGTTTTGTTGCTTCCCCGACCAATAACGACGTAGTTACCACGTTATAGCGCGAGCCCTCGCGCACACTCGTCGTTAACCGAGTGTCCTCCGTTTTGACGCACACGAATTTACGAAAGGTTCATTTTTTTCAAGACAAAAACTAAGAGACGCGTGAATTTTAAGCGTGCCAATTGTACACGAGATTCCAAACGCGTCGTGCTGGGATCACGTCGAGTCATTTATTCTGCGTTCCTTCGCGATAGTTGCGCAAGAAAATTCATAATTTCGTCGAGACACAGATAATGCATTCGCTGTCTTTTCGGTATGTGCATCTTCCACAACAGTACGCTCGCTTGTCTGTAGCTCCAACTATCGCGAATGGAGCTCTTCGCGATGTCTAGTCCAGGTCACGTCACTCCCGTCACTCACTCTCTCTCTCTCTCTTGTACTCTCCCCGTCGGCTCTCTTGCCTCGCTTGCGATCTTTCGGCTCGGGAGGTTTTGCCACGATCGCTCATCACGTGTTATTAATTAGGCTTGCGAGCGGCCAAGTATCTCCCGGGCAGGGGAGGCAGAAGAGCCGAGTCGGAGGAGGAAGAAGAAGCGGAGGCGGGAGAAAAACTGAGAAACACACGAAGAAACAGGGAGATGGTGTTATTTATAAGCCGACAGGGACGACGCAGTCGGAAGCAACGCCCGACGACGGAGGGTGCCCCCCCCCCCACTTTGAGTCTCCCCTTGCGCTCTCTCTTTCGTTCCTTCGTCGCGCACACCGCGTGTGCTGTTTCCCTCCGCCTTCCTTTTCCCCGTTTGCTTCCACTCGAGCGTCACTGCACCGTGACGCGTGATGCATGCTGCACCGTCCAACGCGTGATGTATGCCGCGAAATACGCGATGCGCACGTACGAAAGTGTAAATGAGAGCGCCGTGTTGGGCTTTCGCACTTGGCGGATGCCGCACTCCGAACATCTGGGGCGAGGGCTCGTGGGTGTCTCGCGAACACCCGAGATCACCCGTTCGTATAAAAAATCGACGAGTTCCGTCGATAAGCTCAATGCAAAGTAACGTTTCGAACCATTTTACGGGCTAATTTAAAACACCTCAGCTTCGTTAAACAAAAAAATACTATTATCGAATCCCGCATTAATTAAAAAAATGATCGTGGCACAAGCGGGACGTGACGGGATGTCAATAATGGACTTATCAAGAGCCGGGGCCGACTTCGTTCAGTTCTCGCGAATAATAAGGAACGCGTGTGCGCTCGTCGCGAGAAGTTCCCAATTAATATATGCCGTTCTTTAGATTGACAAAATTAACTGGATGCTGTCAGTGACGTAAATGCAGGCGTGCACCACTGCCCCACTTTTGCGCCAATCGATTCCATTATACGTGCATCCATATATTAAATAACGCGTTGCCGACGCGCTCCTTTATAATTGGAACGTATACACATAACTGTCATTATTAATATAAATGTAAATTTCGAGATTAAAGTGGGTATATCAAGGTTAAAAGAATAATAAATAAAAAAAAATCGCGTGGCAGGTCAATCCGTTCCGTGACGCGGTTCGTTAAAGGCACCGCGATTAGCATCTTATAATTGATTGCAGGCGATTTTTGAGGAAATTAAATTCGATCTCGGCCGCACGGCATAAATCTTGGCGCGTAATACACCGGCCGTTTTCAACACTTCCAGCGAGGTACGGTCAAGTCGTGATACGACCTTGATGAGATCGTTATATCGCGCGGTCGGGTCGGTACCCGCATAGGTGGACCTTGCGCCGGGCAGATGGGCTCGTATACAGCTCATATTAATTAGTCCGCGTGCGCGCGCGAGCGGCGGAAAAAGGAACGAGATGGCGACCGGCGGGCGAAAGTGAGACTCCCGGAGGGATTATCAGACAGATAGAGGGAAGGAGAGAGGACGAGCGAAAGTGAATGGTCGACTGTGCGCGGAGGGCCGGGCGCCCACTCGCCCGGAAAAGAATTCGTAAGATCGCGCGATGCATATGTATAAGCCGCGGCGGCCGCGTCGACGGCAGGCATCGCTATCAACTCGAAAAAGCTAATTAATTAACGAGTTCGCGCGAGAGTAATTCCCCGTCGCGTGTGCCCTCGTCGCGAGGGAGGAACCGGACGCGGTAGGAAAAAGAATTTTCATCCAAGGAAGCGAGCAAATGTTTCGGGGGTTTCGAGGCCGAGGGACGCGACGAATCTCTCGACTCTACGCGCCTGAATAGAGAGACGAAACGGCGCGCGCCGTTAAGAAATAATCCCGTATCGCTCGAATAATGTTGAAAGCGCGTAAAACTGTTAATAAAACCGCCCCGATTCCCGCGAGATTGTCGTGTCCCGAGGCAATGCGGCCGCGAGTTTCGCGTCAAGTGTACGCAAACGGTAGACTGGGAAACGGCATGAGACTACAATTAGCAGCTCGAGTAATCGGCCGAATCGATTTTAATCGGGCCCGCGATGGTGAAATAAAATCACGCGTCTGGTATAAACCGCGGATCATTAGCTCTCAGGGTGGACACACGGCGATGGACGGGAGGACCGTTCAAGGCGCGACACGCGCTAAGCTCGCCGTGATGTCGGGCGAAAACAGATCGGCGAAACGTAAATTACGCGGGCACGGGGGCCACCGCGCTCCGAGCCTGCGTGCGCGGGCAGCTCTTATAATGAATGGCTGTTAATTGTATCAATTATTAACGAGGGACATCGCGCGGACGCCGCGACGACTCTTATCGATATTCAATGATTTACGAGGTAAGCGTCCTCTTGCCCAGATTACTCGGCCCGCTCTCTCCGCTCTCTCCGGCTTGTCGGGCGAGAATTTCGCACCGATTATAGCCGTGCTCCCGGAGATTACGTCCTGATCGCTTCATTATCGCTTCGGTGTTAAATTTATATAGAAAAAAAAAAAATCGCGTCGACAGGCATTATCGCCGGCGACGTCGCCCATCGACCCGCGACAATTAATTTTCAATCTGCCGATGTAACGCAATCGCGCTCGGCGTCCGTGAGAATCCGAGTGACTCACTCACGTGCGGTTTGTCCAAACGGCGCCTATCGCGCGCAACCTCTTTCCTCGAGATAATTAGCTCGCTCGTGGAACGAGAGTGTTGGACGCCAAGTGGC